AGCAGGGCTACATCAGGGAACGGACGTCGGCCTTGAAGCACAGGCCAATATTTTCGAATTATGCCGCGTCTTGGAGCTAAAGCTAATGTCCGCTGCGTGATAACATTCCTGCTATTTTCGGCATCCGCGTCCGCTCGTAGCGAGGCGGCAGCGCCGCACCTCCGCCGCCTCTGGTGCGGCCGACCGCGAGGGTCAGGCCACTCCGGTCGTGGCCACCGCCGCCGGTCCTCGGCTAATGAACCCCGCCCCATTCCCCTCACCGACTCGTTACAGTGCTCCAGCGCGAGTAAACGCTGCGTTCGCCGCGTCGGCGTCGAGGCCCCAGCTGCGTGCGCCGCCGCGATAACCTGGGGTCGCATCGGGCGAATGCGCCATGCTCGCCGCCGGAAACCGCCTCGCTCGTCGCTAGAACCGGTATCGCAGCATGACACGTGCATTTAAAGCAGTCGTTTGGAAACTTTAACTTACATTATAGTGCGCATACAGTGCGTATGCGAACTTGTAAGCACCGGAAGCATTGCGCAAGAAAACGCTCGTGCCAGCAGGTTTGCGGGAGGTTGAGTGCTGAGGATAGACACGTAACACTCGATATCTTGTCCCTAGCACATGTATTCTCACTGCCCGCCCCCTAACGTTGACGAAAGTGCAGACGTTGTGTTTTAATGAAATCAGGTCCACAAGATGTTGAGAAGTCCTGCAGGCATGGGAGTGCCGTTGTGCTTTTCTTGAACAAGCAAAGCCTGCTGGTTAAAAGAGTCACATTTTCGCCCCTAAAAGCTACGACCACGACATATTGTCACTTTGGGGCACTATATTCGTCAGAAACGCCATGGGCTAAGGCGCTGCCGTAATTAGGGTAATAATGCCATGCACTCTCATCTTATAATGCCTATTTTAACGTTAAACCGTTGCAGTATCATTGCAATGTACACACAAAAGCGTCTGGCAAAAAGACGGAAATTAAAATTCATCAGGAAAGCATTCCGTACCTTTCTACGCGTGTAACTGAAAACTGACTTTCAGTGGGTCCAATCTGTTTGGCCCATATGCCGATACAAAGTCCGCCTTACCTTTCTCACCGCTCGGTTTTCGTGAGTATGCCCCAAATTGCTCAACGCTCACAGTGAAATTCAAATATACGCGGTTTTCAGACTTTTACACGACAAGCAGCTTTTGTTTTCCTGCCGTGCCAGTTCAATGATATAAGATACGATTGTGACACATTGGCACGTCGAAAGCGTAGGAAATCGGCGATACGAAACGCATGATTAGCTCGGTGCACACACCATTTTCTTGTCCAGTGGTTTGGAAGCTGCGAAGTTATTACACCACGCATAGCGTTCGATTACGACTTTTCTTAATAACGTAAGGCCAAGGTCATGGGTCATCATGCGGACTACATCCAATCAGCATGCAAACCAATTATTTCATCAGCCGAAGTGACCATGATGTGTCAGTGTTGGCGTTGTAGCCATTTAAATTCAGTCATGTCAGGTCATGCCTTCAATGCCAACTGAAGTACTGCCAGTAAGCATGTATTCCGTAACATGCCCGCTAGCTACAGCTTGTTCTGACCTCGTTTGGCCTGACTTTAGCGGTCATCCGTGGTGCATGTATGCAGATGGCGTAAACAAGGTTACATTGTCAATACTTGACGCTTCCAGCCGTGTTTATGATCGCGTGTTGATCAGAACGGAGTACATGAAGGCGAGGGAGCACAGAGCCTCGCCTTCATGGGAAGGATTCAAGGGAGCCGGGCTAGTTTCCTCCGCTGGCTATATCAAACACTGATCAAGGATGAACTTCGTTCAGATCACCAGCATGCGATCATTAATTTAAAGAACAATCCCGTTTTATTCCCCGTGAACGAGGGCTGACCTGTGTTAGGCGTTAAAATGTCAACCTAAGAAACATTGAACCCATCATATAATTAGCTACCCGCGTGTTCAGTCAATGGTCCTAGTCATTCACGGGCCAAGCTGCAAGTCGACTTCCCTCCCCGCTCAGCTTCCATTCCACCTCTCCTGGCAGTGACCCTTCCCATGGCAGGCCCTTCGCCCAGCCTGCGAAACAGAGCGCCGCCGGCCGCGGCCGCGCGGGACGACAGAATGGCCGACTCGTGTTCGCACCGGCGCGCTGACGTTTGTCAGACATATGACGTCTGACATACGTATGTCAGACGCGTCTGCGTCGGCTATTCCGAGGCCTGGCCAGCCCGGCGGCGTCCACGCGAGCTGAATAATGAATCACTGTGGCCGCCGGCGCACAGAAGCGGGGCGTTTGACGCTCGGACCCGTCCCTCGAGCGCGGAGCCAGGCGAGCTGGGCAACCCGGCGCGGAGCCAGGCGGCCTGGGAAACTCGGCGTGGCGGGCGGGCGGGCTGGCAAACCTGGCGCGGCGGGCGGGCGAGCTGGGAAACCTGGCGCGGTGGGCGGGCGACCTGGGAAACCTGGCGCGGCGGGCGGGCGAGCTGGGAAACCTGGCGCGGCGGGCGGGCGGGCGAGCTGGGAAACCGGGCGCGGCGGGCGGGCGAGCTGGGAAACCTGGCGCGGCGGGCGGGCGGGCGAGCTGGGAAACCTGGCGCGGCGGGCGGGCGAGCTGGGAAACCTGGCGCGGCGGGCGGGCGAGCTGGGCAACCTGGCGCGGCGGGCGGGCGAGCTGGCAAACCCGGCGCGGCGGGCGGGCGAGCTGGGAAACCCGGCGCGGCGGGCGGGAAGGAGCATGAGCGCCGAGCCAGGCTGGTCTCACCCGCTGGCTGGGTCAAACGGAGGGCTCCCAATCAACTAAGGAGCTGTCCTCAGCGAACCCAAGGCAGAGCGAGGCTATGCCGCCAGAGAGGAATAGCAAGCAGTGGCACCGAGGCAGCGCCCCCTCCCCCCTCTAGCAACGGCACGCCCCCTCTCGTGAGGCCCGGGGCTCATGCGCTAGCACCTGCTGCCGGTGACCTGTGTCGGCGCGCACGTGACGACCTGTCCGGCTGCCTCGGGCAGCAATTCGGCAGCCAAGAAGCAGCTATCGAAAATTTTCCGATAGCGACATTTGCACAGGACTTCGTGTACAAGTACCGGTGTGGCAAGCAGGGCTCCACTGGTACCGTCACATAAGCCTGTTTCGCCGTGTTCATTGACGGCTGTCTTATCCTGGTGGTAACGAAATGCCAGCAGCCGCCGTACTGGTGCCTCCAGGACGGATTCGGTACAGGCTGCCGGCACCGCGGGCAATAACGCATCCACAATACACAGGTACGGGTACCGAACCTCTTTCACGATTCAGACGGGGTTTGCCTGCTCCTTATATCACCGGGAGCTGTATCAGACGGGTCAATCGTAGCGTTTTTACTGCACAGGCGCAGGGAGGACAGTGCACCATTGATGGTGCAGCTGCAACGCTACAGACGCTCGCAGTGAAAAGCTGGCACAAAACACGAACACCCTCACACCTGCTGAGCGCTGGACAAAGAACCTATCGCAGAATGTTTTGCGAGTTGATTAATAAGTGAAAACCAATTATTGGACGTCACCAGTCGATACGTGCTCCCAGTCTTCTTCATGGACTGAACGGAATGAAGCTTCGTTGTCGTCATGTTTGCCATGCATGAAGGCGCGGTGCCCTTTTTCTCTTCGGCATCTCCTTCATCGCTCATTACCAATGGGCCTCTTTTGTTACATACATGCGCTGGAGATAGCTCTGGTTATGAGGCGATGGCTGATCGCCCGCAATGGCGAGCCGGATATGCTTCTATTTATTGTGAGGTCTCAGCGACCCTCGTGGCGAGTCTCATCTCGAGAGTCTCGAGTCTTGCTGTCGTGGACCGCACAGTCTGTGTCAGGTGGGGTGTGACAACACAGTCTGTGTCGGATGGGGTGTGGCCGTACAGTCATTGCCGGGCGGGTGTGGCCTCACAGTCTGTGTCAGGTGGGGTGTGACAACAGAGTCTGTGTCGGGTGGGGTGTGGCCGTACAGTCATTGCCGGGCGGGTGTGGTCACACAGTCTGTGTCAGGTGGGGTGTGACAACAGAGTCTGTGTCGGGCGGGGTGTGACCGTACAGTCATTGCCGGGCGCGTGTGGCCACACAGTCTGTGTCAGGTGGGGTGTGACAACAGAGTCTGTGTCGGGTGGGGTGTGGCCGTACAGTCATTGCCCGGCGGATGTGACCACACAGTCTGTGTTGGGTAGGGTGTGGCCACACAGTCTGTTTTGGACGGGGCGCGGCAATAATACGCGACGCGGCTGTGACGCTACAACCCGGGCCGCGTTAGTGTCTGGCTGCATTTCAGTCCTCTCCTGTAATCCCCGCTGTTGCAAGCATGCATCAAAAAGGCCCAAAAAAGCATTGCACCGCTGAAAATATACCCGTGAGGAATGCGATCACGCGTCTTGTCGTAGAGGCGTGACCCGGGAGATCGGGGTAGTTTCTGTTGCGTAGATCTCGGCTTGCGCGGCGCTGGTGGCGGCCGGCCAGCGCTCGCTGCAAGCAGCACGAGGGCGCCCGGTCCCAGCGGCCCGCGGGCCAGATCGAGGCTAACGAGGTTTGGGGCTTGGCCAGGTGGCGGCCGGTGCGTGGGGTGGGGGCGGCGACACGTCCGGCGTCTGCGGGACAGCCGCGGTCGGCACGCGGCGCCCTGACCATACCGCCCGGCATCACACCGCACCGCCTGACAGCAATGGGCGCAAAATAACCATTATAGTCCGCGCGCCTTGAAACACCAATAAACAGCAAAGATAACGACGAGGAGGCCTGGACCCATCCGAAGCCCGGCGACAGCTGCAATGATGACACTTCACATCTGCCGGCGTCACTCGTGGCGTGATGAATATCCGCTGATACAGTTTGCTGTCGGCTCCACGGACCTACCAGAGCTGATTCGTTGCCAGCACAGTGCGGTCTGGGGCCGCCAGTTTCCCAGTGATTCTTGTCGCGTCTCGGCAACTCGATAAACCTGATTTCCGTCCCCTGCTGCGACGCCCACTGACCACGCTGCTCTTCCTCTGTTCCCAGACTCGGTGACGGAGCGGAGGCGCTGCTGCCATGGACGGACTGAGGTACGCCAACTGCCGCCGGGGCCATGACCTTTGAACCGCAGCCGGTGGGCATTGATCGCACGTGATGGCCGGCGACCGGGCGCACGGCGTGATTTTAGTTTGAGCGACGGCTTTGTCCCACTAGAACACGCTGGGGATTGCACGCTCGCCCGCGCGCTGGTCTGCAGAAGACAGGCGCTTCTCTGCGGTGGCCTCCTTGTCTGCCCGGCGGAAAGCGATCTGTAGAGCCCCACTACGCACGGACCTTTGTGTTCCTGTGCGGGGCTTTGTCTAGGCTGTTCCCGGACGGAGTGGCAGGGAACAGCGTTCCATCATCAGTCTGCGCTCTCCGAGGTAGCGCGGTTAGCTGACGCTGAAGGATCAACGCATCTGTCGCGACGTGCGGCTGGTTGGAGGCAGGGGTTTGCCGGCCGAAGTCCTAAGATATTGGTGATCCGCTCGTTTTGTCCTATCCGTGTCGAAAATACCCTCTCTTTTCCTCCTTATGCAACAAATCTGCTACCTGTTGCACTGTGGTGAGTAGAAGAGACGGTGTTTGAGCCATGTTTTATGACATTGTGACCGTGACGAAATGAGACCCGATGAACGTGTTGGCAAGCGAGCAGTGCGGGATTTTTGACCAGCTCGAAGCCGATCTCTTCAATGAAATGTGATGATCAGGAAACGACCAGGCAATTTCTGACGGAACGGGCCACATTTGCGCATGCCACTTGAACTGGTTCTCCATCTGGCACTGGCTGAAGGCCGCTACAGGACTGTTGATGCATCCGGTGACATCTCGATAGACCCTCATGACGTCACGTGGTCGTGACCCGTCGACCCTCACCATCTCAGCCCACCCCCGATGGCAGGGGCAGGCGGGGGGGGGGGGGGGGGGCGCCGACCATGTATTCCGGCACTGTCACTAAAGCGGCGGGGCGCAGCGGCCATTGGAGCCCCCCGCCTGCTGAGGTCCCTGGCTAGCCCGTACCTGTGCAGCCATCGATCAGGTCACACGATGGGGCCTCGTCCGCGGCTCGCGGGTCCGTATAGGCACGCCCTGATGTCAGTTTATTGGTGAGTGTCCTGACCGTGGCGATATTCAGTAATGAGGGCCAGCTAATGGCATTTCCAGGGCAGTCATGCAATATTCGCATGCCATATTTCGTGCAACGGATGCATTTCTGCAGCGACGGCTTAAGTTCCAAAGTTATCGCGGCGGCGCCTGGTTTGGTAGATGTTTAAGGTTGGGATTGGGCTCCACTTGAAGCCCCGTCAGCTTATGCCGGCTCTACCTTCCTCAGCTGCATGAAGAGTTTCGAGTCGAATTCAACGCTGTTAGCGGGCTACCGGCCTCTGGACTCTTCTGGGGACGACGAGGAGCTGATGAGGGTTTCGTCCAGCGACGACGGCTCTGAAGACTCTGATCTAGGTAAGCGGCCGCATCTGAAGCGACTCGGCGCTGTGTAACCAGCGGCCCGGTGTGATTACGGCCAGGACCGCGGGCCGGGCGAGTCCAAAATGAACTCTGAGAACATTTTCAACTTGAGCGGCCCGGTTCGGCCGTTCCCCTTTCGGTAAGCAATGTCTCTGCAACCACTAATGCCAGGCGTTGCCAGTCTTCGGTAACGAGAAGCGTAATCTGCAGAGGCTACGCCGGCTGCATTGTAAGGCGTGTATACGTTGACTGATCAGGAGCTTTTATCTTGCAATATCGCAACGTGACAACCATTTCTTCTCCACATCTCGATTAACGTGCAAAAGGAAACAACTCGAATTGCAAAAAAAACTCAATAACACGGGTAAAAACAGGTCCAGATTTGGACAACCCGCCGACACAGCGACACAAGGCTAGCTGAAACTGGCGGAGGGGACGAGCAGTCGTATAAGCAGCAGCGCGAAGAGATGTGCGAAGACGGTCGAGAGGTCCCGTGCGCAGTCTCATCTCAATCTGTTGCAAGCACGCGCTGGCCGTGGTTGTGTATGCCACACGCTGATTAGTATCACGCCGTGCTTGTTGGTTACGACCCAGCACAAAAGGTTTGGACAAAGGCATCGGCTGAAAAGCAGTCTGCTGTTATCAGAATCTGCCAGGGTCTGTTTCTAACTGAAATTATGTACTGACGACGGTTTGAGAAAAATACAAACAATGCGTTCAAACACCATAATCTTTGAACACTATAGTTGAAAAGTTATGCGACTGGATGTAGTTGTTCTTTTGGATATGACTTACTGGTGTACACATCCATGGTGTTGTGACGCACAGTGGATTTGAGTTCCGTTGTTGAGCATGCGAAATGGACTGTTAAAGTCTTCGTATGATATATATATATATATATATATATATATATATATATACATATATATATATATAGATATATAGATATATAGATATAGATATATATATATGTATATATATATATATATATATATATATATATATATATACATTTCAAGTAGTGATGGTATTAAGTGTATGGTACTATTCGCAAATAAAGAGCAGCTTTCTTAGAACTTGAAAGAAAAAACATAGAATGTGGTGACATGTCCACCTCATTTGGACGGTGTATTTTTGTGCCAGGAGTTTGTTCTTTAAACCTGAAGTTTTTTTAGCCAAAATGGGTAGCACTATCTGGAAGTGGCACTTTTATGGCATCAACATTTTAGCCAATTCCACTGCGAGCAATGGTCACGGGTGATGGTAAGGTGCAAACATGTCGATAAGGGACGTGCTACGATTCCTTGTTTAGATACCCGCCAATGATGAATTTGTGTTCTAGCCAGAAAAAGTAGGCTTAGAAAACGTGCTTGGTGGTCCCAATGCCTTTCAGGAGATTTACCCATAAGCGACTTACAGTGCTTGATATTTCTGGATTTCGGTCCAGCGTCGGGAGCGTTGGCTATCTGCACCATCCGCTTGTGAGAGAAGCTTGAGATTTTTTTCAGGTATCCTGTTTTATCAGACATCCTTTAGCTTGACTTCAGGTTCTCAGACATCCCGTTTAAACGGCTAAATCAAAATTTTACGCACGTGTAGAGGAATTAACACCCGAACTGCTAAGGGAGGATGTTAAGGCGCATGTGCTGATCCAAGCCCAACGACCAAATTTTCTGGGCTACTATGCGCAACGGTTTTCAAAATCAAAACACAAGCCATCGTTTGGAGCCACTTCCTACGTGTCACTCTATTGCGGAGCAACGTGGAGTCAGGTGAATGCAAATTAAATACGTCCCCTACGTGTTACGATTGCGACATGATTTGTCCTGCTCCAGTTTTGGACACCGCTCGCAAATATTACGCAGGATAAATTCGACTTGAGCAAATGACAGCTTTGCCTGCGGTCCTCTGCAGGAATGCTACTGGGGATTATCATCAGAGCTATCACTGGGTGCCGGCTGTGGGCTATGATATCCAGTTGGAGATCAGGACGTTCTATATATTTCTTTCATCATGAGTGAGCCCTTCTCGCCACGAGTACCCCTCCTTTCGAAAGCCGCCGTCACTCAAGTTCGTCTGGGATTATGCATTGGACGTGTTGGTGATGATGACGCTTGATCGCTTACGGTATGTTAACAACGAATTCATAGCATGAAGATTCCGTGGCGTTACAACACTGATCAAGAATCTGCAAGACCTCAGTAGTTATGACACGTCATCCACAGCTTATTCATATCACATATTGATATATCTAGGAATCTGCCAAAATCGTTATAGATATGGGATGTATATCGACGCTGTCGTTCTGGCAGTGGGACAGGGGCTATTTCTGTGCATCCTCTCGTTATTATCAGTGGTGTATCACCACGAGCCTATCGCAGGCGGCAGACACAGACATGGGTCGATGCCCAGCTGACCTGAGGTCATGTGTCAGGTCCAATCGTGTATTGGCTGGGCCATACGTCTCTGTCGGCTGTCCCGACGTCCAACCATCCATTCTCTCTCCGTTGAAGGGGAGCAGCGCGCTGGATTGGGGAAAGAGGAAAAATACAGAAGAAAAGGAAACAATCCATGTGTAGAGGGCGCAAGAGAAGGAAGGGGAAAGGGAGTGTGATAGGAAGAAAGTGAAATTTGGAAGGGAGGAGAAGGATAAAGAGAGGCGAGTAGTTCAAATGGGTGAAAACATGGAAGTCAACAGGGAAAGTAGCGCGTTGAGGGAGATGGGAACATAGGAATAGAAGGGGTTAAACCGGGAAACTAAATGGCGGGATGAACAACGTTAAAGCGAATAAGTTCTAGGAAAAGTGTCGGGAAGTTGAAAAGACCAACCGAGCGCATTTAACTTCGTTCATTCTTGCAAATGTCATTTTAAGCTGGCCTAACCACATGCTACCATGCCAGACAAGGACGATAGTCAGAACAATCGTTATGTTTATGATGACTTACCCATATGTCTGCTCTCCCGCCTCACCAGACTCGACGTCGGACTCTGAGTCGGGTCGGAGTCCATCGGTGGTGCGCCCTATGAACGACTCGCTGGACCTGCACCCGCTGCTGGGCTCGCCTCGACGCCTCGTCGCGAGCTCCGCCGCCGTCTCGCGCCACGTGCCCACTTGGGTCATGCGCACGAAGCTGGACGACAGCAACGCTAACGCCCTGCCGGCCACCCTGACGGCGACCATGCCGCGGCCGCCGACGGCGCTCACCGGGCTGTCGCCGCTCTCGCCGGCCATCGAGAAGGCCGAGATCGAGCGGAGCGAGAAGCCCGCCGAAATCAACGGTAACCTTGTGCTGTACAAGGACGGCGCCAGGCCCAAGGTCGTCGACAAGGTCAAGACGAGTCGCCACACGGCGGGTGCGGTTAAGTCGCCGAAGCACCGGCGCGCGGCGGCCGCCGCCGCCGCCGACGACGAAGGCGAGCGACGCGACGTGCGCGTGCACTTCAGCAACGACGCGTGCGTGCCGAAGAAGCAGGAGAAGATGATGATGAACACGTCGCTGAAGATGGGCCTGGAGTCGCCGCGCCGCCCGTCGCGACCCACCTCGCTGTCGGTGGCGTCTCGCCAGGTGGCGTCGAGACCGGCCCCGGCCGAGGTGCGCGCGGAGCCGCGGCCGGCTCAGCCGGCAGGCGGCAGGTCGGACGCGCCGGCAGATGGCGGGCCGAGCGCGGCGGCAGGTGGCGCGGCCGTCAGGAGGCGGGAGAAGTCCGGCAGCCGGGAGGAGAAGCTGCAGCACAGGAAGTCGTGCCCTGTCGGACCGGTGAAGGAGGAGCGTCCCAGCTCACCAGACGGATACAGTAAGGAGCTTGAGATGTTCAAGCAAATGTTGAAACCGCAGCATAAGCGTGTTGGTACTGATAGTCAGCTGAACAGCAAAGCTCGGGAAGGATTGATCACTTCATCATGGTTTATCATCTGGGGCATGCGGACTTTTCAATGCACATCGTTTTCATGTGAGGTGTCACTGATGCATTCCCAACGGATGTGATTTAGACACCGAGGTGTTTTGAAGCGCTCTCGTTGATCACATACCAATGATGCTTCTCTGTCTGCGCCTATTTGACTTATCTGATGTAGTTTACTACGCTCAGTCACTTTTTCGCCGCAAGATAGCGTTCACTAAGGATTTCCCCTTCTTCAGGTGGGTTCGATGTATACAATTTGGAAACCTCTCTCCCCAAGATCGACTGGGACGCGATCGAAAACCACCTGAAGTCTGTCAGGGAGGAGGAGAGAAAGGTGAGCGATTTCTGAAACGCCCAGGTCAGCGGCGCAGCGCCCGCATTCGCGCGCCGCGATCAGCCTGGCCAGCCGGCGGGCGTCGATTCCCGGCGCCGCTCGCCTGAGTTCCAGCCGGCCGGGGTTCCGTCGCCTGACGTCGTTTAACACCGGACCTGCCCCATTTGGGGCGCGTCAATATGCTCCTGGCTGGCGAGGGGCGGAGGGGGGGGGGGCGGGACAGTTGGCCGGCTGATAAATGGTGCGGCGCAGCGCCCCGGGTGGCACCCGGTGGGCCGGAGCCGCTTGCCGCCGACACGACAGGCTCAGCGGCAAGGTCAACACCAGCCAGTGTGCCCAGCAGGGCCGGCCTTGCCCCGGACGGTAGTCCGCCGCTGCACAGCAGGGCCGCAGGCGTGTAGGCCGGGTGGTCCCGCCTATCGCTGTCTGGCGCTGCAGCATATTGACCGTTGTAAGCGATAGGAATGCAGTTTTTAGTGCGGTGGTTTCGTGGGGATCTGAATCGATGAGGCTGCCAAATTCATACACCAAGAAGAAGGTGCGACCGGTGGCATAGATTCGGAGGATATGCTAAGTGAACCGTCAGTTGTGATGTACATTGGCTTAAATTATGCGTGGCTCTGCTGAGCCAGAGTAATAGTACTTCGTGCTATTGACCTGAAGAGTTAATGGCTTAATCCGATCTGAAAAGAAGCGGATTTTCACGAAATTCACATGACGAGCACAAATATAGAAATTGCTGCATTGTTGGAATGGCTATGCAATGATGAAAACCCAGTGATTAGCAATCAGTCGTAACCCCGATAATGCTGCGACTCAGTGAAAACCGCGAAACGGTTGTAAGAGAAGACGATGGCCATTTTGACCAGACCTATCATCATACAGGGGCACCCATTACGTGTCATCATCGCTCATGCCGACAGCAGCACATCACTGGGGCGGGCTTGAGCCTTAGAATACCGATCGACGAATTCTTGTGGAGACTCTTCAAGAATGCGAGGCTATTTTCCACGACACCAACCCCTTCACAATGGCAAATGCATCACAGGATGTCGCCAACCATTGGGGTCAAACGATGCAATGAACGCCAGCTGTGTCAGCGTCTGGTCTAGGGAGACCACACAGGGCAGATGCGACAGATTTGCAGAGCTCTGATGACGTCAGAGTTCTCGTGATGTTATTTCTGCGCCGCCTCCGGTGAACCAGGCAGCCATACGGAGCGCGGCGATAACGAAACAAAGCGATGTCACGTCCACGCCTGTTCTTAGCTGGTTCGGTATTAGTTCTCATTCCAGCAGCGTCATAATGGCCAGGGGCGTACTGAGGAATTTCACAGTGGGAGGTGAGAGGAGGACAGCTAAAAAATGTGCACTAAACGTTAAGTTAGGTTGCTGCAGGCGCGTGCATTTTCTTGGGAGACGTTAAGCAGCATCGCATGCTCTCGATCTTCTTATTTCTAAGTACCTGTCTTATATTTCAGCCGTTAACATTGACACCTGAAATTTTCTACTATCGTTATGGGGTTATGTGCATTGTGTTACATGCCACGACTTTGGTAATAAGACGTTCCCACGAGGGTTAATGTTCGTACACCCCTGAAAATGCTGGTAGTATTGTGGCCAGGTGTTTTAGGAGTGGGCGCCGGCGACCTAGTCCTTGCATGATATGCATAAATGCGTGTCGAACTGCCTCGTGCGGCACTCATTATTTTCCAGGCGATTGTAGCGTGTCTCCCCTATTCACAATGCCTGTGTGCGCCCCTGGCCCGGGCAGACAAGTCTGGCGACGTAAGACGCCGTCTTGACACATCCTGTGACATTGTATAAACTGCACCCACTCAGGACCCGCACTGGTTCGGCAGAACACGGCCGGCAACAGACGTGTGCTCGGTCCCAAGCGACCTCTTCAGGTTGACGAGTCCATTAATCCGACCTTCGCCGGCATATCAGCGGCTGCGGGGCCGCTCGACCCAGTAGTCCGCCTTCTGGCGTGTAAACACTCACACCTCGGCCGCCGGCGCCCCGGGCAGCCGGGGGTCGAGAGGTGAGCTCGGGGTCGGACGACCGCGTGACCTCCTGACCCCAGTTCGGGCGGGCGCCGGCCGGTGCGTTCAGCCGCCCCTGCGACGGCAGGGGAGATGCGGCGGAAGCAGCTTGCGGCGCGAAGATAGCGACGTCAGAGGCGGACGCCTGAACTGTGACCCGCGGCCTGTGCTGCAGCGGGGGCACGAGTGCGCAGTGGCGCTGGCTCGTGGTGAGGCGAACATGGCCGCGCGCGCTCACCGAGCGCGGCGACAGAGTGAGCAGGTCACTCGCCGGTGATCGCCAGACATGGCGGGGTACTACAGCCGGGTGCTGGACGTCGAGTTCGCCTCCGACAGCCCCGTGGCCCGCGCGCTGTACTGGAACTCGCCCAACGTAAGCGCAGTGTGCGTGGTGGAATGGCTGTTTGGCGTCGCATTGCATTGAAAGGCCTTTGTGAATTCTTATGCTCTAAATGACCGAACTTCGGTATGCCAGTAGGGACTGGTTGACGCAGAGACCAAGTCGTGACTGGAACGCACTACGTACGTGATTAGCGTCTCCAGTCATGACCTTGGTCGTAGGAGATAATGTTACGCTCGTGGCCATAACATTTTAAAAAAGGTAACGATTTTCATTACATATTCCAACGAATGCCTGCCATTTTCGTCTATGCATTTGCCCGTGGCCGGTCAAAGGTCGTTATTTTGAGTAAAACATGTGACGCCAAAAATGTAAAGCTTGACGAAGGCATTTCTCATCGACGTCAAGTTAACGGTTGGAAGTGATGACAAAGCTAGGACAATTTCTTGTCATGTCCATGGTTTGCGCAGTACGTGGTTTTGGGCGCTTTATACAAATGCACACCTGGTAAACGGGCCTGCTAGCAGCAATGTAAGATTTTTTTCTTATACTTATTACTTGGGGTGTCACGCTATTGCAGTTTTGCACTAGAGGGTCGCGCATTGTAAAATGTAACGATGATAACCGTTCCGCGTTACCACGTTAGGCACAGCTTTCACCAGCAAAGATCATAACACCTAGCAAGATATTTTCGGTATTTATTTAACAATGAAAATTCAGTTTTCATCGTGCAAGAGAACATAAAGGATCTTGGTAAGCCATGGCATGTTTTAACAATATTTTTCAGCCAAGACAAATGCAAAACAACGGGAAGGTCCAAAGCGCTCTGAAAGATATTCTTGACGTTCTGGCAACGATGAAAATACGGGTCAATGTAATCAGAGCATCCAGGCAAGCAATCCCAGTTCCCTGCTGGGACATTGGGACATCCTGAAATACGAGGAAGTCGTGACAGATGGGTGCTCTTGTTAACGTGACGGTTGGTTTTAGCTTCCCAGCCTATGAGCGGGAGTGGGCCGCTTAAAACACAGATGCTTTGTAATGCTCCCAATGCGACGGACCATTAGGCAGGCCGGCGTTTGTTCATGCGCTGGAAGACGGTGTTTAGTTTGTAGCGCTGGATGCGTAAACACATGGCCGGTTGGAGTCGAGGTCACCAGCCAGTTGTCCGAGTTTAACAACGTGGCTAAGTCAAACGTCTCCAAGCTCAGATAAGATATCGTTCCGTTTACTCGTTCTCGACGATCACAACGCCTGTCCCGTCACCGTTGGGCCGTCGTGACCGGGTGGTCCGAAGTCGTCCAAGCGCGCGCTGTCCGCAGAGAGACCCGTTTGTTACCGGGCCCTCGACGAGAGCATGGCTATTTAACCACCAGCGGTACGCAAGGGAAAACTCGCACTCTTGTTCAAGTGAAATGTCCGGGTAGTAGCGTCTTTAAAGTGCATCATCGTTGAACGACATATCGATGTTGTAAATCTGTTCTGTAATTTGTATTTACTGTCACGCTTGTCCCATCGATTTGTTTACTGTAACGATGTGTAATTCGTTACAATTGTGGCACGTGATATAATCCATGTCGGCTCTAGAAGTATCCAAACGCATTTCAACTTTTCAACCCCATTCCATCAATTTCTCCTCATCCTTCTCCCTGTTTCACTTCCCATCCGCTTCCGTTCCCTCCGAGCCCAACTCGACGGTTGACCCCGCCTGCCCCGCACGCTCACGAGGCCGTGCCCGGCGTACAACCCGTCCGACCCTTCCATCCACGACTGGCCACTGGTGCGTGACCCTCCCTCGCGCGCGTGTCGGCCCGTCTGCCGGCCACGCCCCGGGCTCTCACGGCCTCCCTGTCGGAGCGGCGCGCCGGTGCGGCCGGAGCGTTGCGCCACCGCCGGCGGCGCTTGTGAAAGGCCCGGCGGCGCAGCGTGCGTCCGGTGCACTGTTCTGGTTCAGCGGCCGATGCTCCTGGACAGTGGCGTGGCCAGGGCGCGGCCCGCCGGACGTCCTCCGGTTCAGGCGGCGACGCGGTAGTGCAGGCTGCTCCCAGCCGCGTCCTGTTCCGTGGAGCGAAGCCACGAGTCGGATCGTCTTTTTTCGCTGCACCGTTTACGCGCATGGGTCGTAAACCAAAGTTCGACTGCCGTCTGCCCTTTCCAAAAGTGGTTTAATTGAACAATAAGATCTTAAGTAAGATTGATATAAGCGCCACGTTATATTTGCGGACGTCGCGATCCAAAAATAGTGTGAAATTGTAGTTTCGTCTGCTGGAATTTGGCCCCACTGGCTTGAGCTTGCGCAGCTAACGCGGCAAAGTGTCCGACGTGCACCACAAACATGCACTCGTGCCGTAAATGCGCCATTCTCTCACGCTGTGCTTTTTACAGCTTTTTGAGATATTTGTGATAGGTGAGCTGTCTCCCCCTTGATGTCGGCCAAAGGAGGGCTCATGTTCGTAATTAACTTACGCGTCTTTATACGAACGGTGCATGTGCCATTGGGCCGAGCCTGTCTTTTAACACAACCATCGTCATCGCCGTGGGCTTTGAATTCCTTTTGACCGATGTTGGCTACTTCTTGGCCGTCCTTCCGTCGCCGCCCACGTTGTTGCTTCAATGATGTGGTCCAAGGGCCGCATGCGCGGACCGGTCGTCGCCGGCAGACTCCAACCCGTACACCCCGGGCAGCCAGGCAGGCGTGCGTGCGCCGCCAGGCCCGCAGTGCTGCTGCACGTGCACAGCCGTGTCTGGGGTGAACTTTCCAGGCCGGCCCTGCGCTGGTCTGGCGTGCGTGGCGTCGGCAGGCATTCCCTTGTGAGTCATGTCGGCGGGGAAGGCCACTTCCGACGAGTGGTCTCTGACGTCATGGCGGTCAGCATGGGCTAGCTGATTTCTGACATCACGGCGACCTGCAGGAGTCCGTGCGGCTCATGTGGGGCCGTTTTGCTAGATTAAAAATGGAGAGACTGCGTTTTACAAAAACGGTTCAACACAAGTGCCTGAGCCGCATTATAGCTTTACCAAAGATATCTCCATTTTTGCTGCACCACCGAAATATTTCCCAAAACATTGGGGGCGGCGGTATGGACGCCACTCAAGGTGCTTAGCCCCGCACACCAAGGAGACGAGTGTCTAATCGTCCACCGGCCCTAGATACTATCCAAACACCATCTGGTCTTTTTTTACATGCTTCAGCACGGTGTGACGGCACAAACATGTTTCCACATACGTTGCTTAGATCCACGACATTCCAGTCTCCTCTGACATGACACATCGCATTCATCAGATATGGAACACGCACGAATGGACATTTGCATTTAATATTTCAATTACTTCAAACTTGTTCATTCCAGTCTAATTGTTTTGGCCACGTTTTGAAATCCGACTCAATCCATGCCTGAGTTCTTCCGAGATTTCCACATCCATCCATGCATGTATTGATTCTAAATTTTGTATGTATCCAGCAAACGAATAACTATCACTGTCCACACTTCATCATGGGGATATTTCATGGGAAACGTACAGCCGTTGACATGGTGTATGGCTGCCCGTGCGGCCGCGGCTGGGGCATTGCAGCCCTCGGTGGGAGAAACTTGGCTTCTCCTCTGCCCAATGATTGTCCCAGTCCTTCGGTATTCAAATTACATCACCCAAATTCGCGAGACAAATGTAAAATTCTTGATGCTTCAAGGAATATTCTCTTCACCCCACTTTCACCTCCAATGTGTTGTATGACTCTGCTCATGAACGTGGTGATGGTAAACCTCGCATAGGGTGTAGGCTGTCTTCAAAGGCATGGACGCCGGGGTCATCTTATTTCCTGGGTTTCTTCAGTCATCTGGAATTTTATTTTAAAAAGCTAGCACATGGTGCAACATGCGTTTTGTACCGAACATTTTCACACATGGAAAGGGAGGGAAGAGCATCATCTTCGGACGAAACATTTACTTCTGTGAGCCGTCGATAGACCGCAGACTGTCAAAAGCCCGACGGACACAAGAACTGGGCTAGGTGGTCCCATAATCCAGACAGAATGTTTGGCCCAATGTCTGCACATGAGAGGATCAAATGAGTCACGATAAACCGGCCGATCTGCTCGATCTGTGGTGGTACGCCCCACAACATGGGGATGTTGTCGCATTCTGCTGTAATCTCCTAAAAAGCGAGGCCTGCCGGTGACCTTCACCTGTACTCGTGTTATTAGATATGACTCAGCTCGGTGATTATGGTCCCTAACTGGCCGGCACCGAGGCCGAACACATACTTTCCCTGCAGTGACGCGTCCAGCAGCGGGAGTGGGTGGGGGGGGGGGGGGGCGCACTGAGGTAGTAAGATGTCTGCTGATGACTTGGTCTCGCTCTCGTTCCGTTTTTCTAATGTCCAAAGAATATGTTTTGGAAAGAGAATGTCAGCATTCCTTTGCTACGATTTACCGATGCCGCGCCACCCAGTCATAGAAGTCACAGACAACAAAGGCGCACATGGCATGATGACATCCCAATTTGATGTGCTGATTCAAATCGCTTTCGTGCACCCGGGTACTCCACCCGGGTACGTGGTGTACAAGTACGTTAATAAGAGTACAAGTCTCTACCAGATACACATCTGTCGCATGCAAAGCTGAGAGGGCTGCGGTCGCATTCGCGCCCCTTCCCTGCTTCCTGCCGTGTGGCAGGAAGCAGTGAAGTAAAGCCTACATGCGCCAGCCCGCCGTGACGACTGTGGGTTGGTGCTTCCGACACACCACGCTTTATTGCGAGCGACGTAATGCATTGCCTTCGCAAGCAATGGTCTGCCTTGTTTTGCGTCCTTCCCTTCACCCATTGTTCCTTGTGCGACTCACGGAAGCATCGCACGCGTGACGACTTGTTACGCCTCTCTTGCTTCCTTGTTCTTAATTAGTGGAGAGGCCACCACCGCCTCCCTTTGGCTGTGCCTGGCGTCGCCCCTGCTGCGCTCCCCGCGGCCGGTGGCGTGACGTCTCCCCCGCCGTCCGGCCTGGCGGCGCCCCTGCCGGCCGGCGTTTCCCGTGATCAGCGTGTGTGACGGTTTTCGCTTACCTAACCGTTACGGGCGCTCACAGCGGGCCGCCGCGCTCGTACCGACAGCTGTGACGGACCGGCACTCCGCGCGGCCGGAGCGGTACTCTCGGAGTGGACCGCCGCCGGGGTGGTGTAGGTGCCGCCGACGGACCGGCCGTGACCCGAGCCACGTGCGCGCGTGACGTTGCTGGCGGTGCTCGACGCGGCAGTGTTTGACGGCATATGGCGGCGCGGCGAGGCCACTGACGTGGGCAGAGTTGAGCCCGAGTACCCGGACCGGCGACGAAGGCGCCGTGATGAACGGCGACCTGACCAGGTGTGGCTGAAGCGAACACCAATCCGTGCTGTGATCGAAAGGCGTCAGCGCTGGTGCTAACCGCAGGACGAGGCCGACGACTGAGGTCGAGAGGACGGCGGGCTAGACCGTACGCCTTCACATATGCGGTTGTGAGTATGCTGGAGGAGATGCTGGTGCCACCGGGCCTGCTGGACGAGATGTTGGAGCCGTCACCAGACGCGACGCCGATGGTGCACAGGCGTGATCTCAAAAAGCGGCACTACAAGAAGGATTCACGCTTCGTGGGTGACCTCTACACGCTGACCTTTGACACCCACGAGGACCTGGAGAGTCTGGGCTACCTGGACCTGCAGGTACGGGGGTCTGTGCCGACCATGTTGGCAGCCGTGATCTGCTCGCATCATACTACACGCCAGTCGGCGACAAACAGCCCCACCACGGCGCGCTAGTTCTTCAACTCCGCAGTCGGGATCTCCCTTCCGGAGTCTCTGCGGGTTGTAGGTTCAGAACTCCGTATGTTTAGCAGTCGGAAGCACTAGGAGCTGAAGCTGTTAGAGGCTATCCTTGCTCTTGGTGCTGAAGGAGCCGATGACCTTGACGAAGTCATCGCTTCGGAGTCTCGGGGTCGTGTTTTATGGTAGACAAAAAACCTAAACCAGCAGATGCTACCGTCCAAGCGCATGCATCAATTCCAGAACCCACAAACTTACAGTGCTCGATGGCGGGAAAGCCCATGAGTCACTATGCCTTCATCCGGTCAGTGTTTCTATCCACGCCATAGAGCGTACCGTGCCTTTCACGGGCCCTGAAGGACGCCGGCGTAGCGTCCTGAGTAACCATGCGCTGATTATGCCCTGTCTCACCACGACCGGGGCCAGTTGGAGCAGACCAGACCAACTGCCGATCCTCGCTTAGGATCAGTTGGAGCAGACCAGACCAACTGCCGATCCTCGCTTAGGATCAGTTGGAGCAGACCAGACCAACTGCCGATCCTCGCTTAGGATCAGTTGGAGCAGACCAGACCAACTGCCGATCCTCGCTTAGGATCAGTTGGAGCAGACCAGACCAACTGCCGATCCTCGCTTAGGATCAGTTGGAGCAGACCAGACCAACTGCCGATCCTCGCTTAGGACCAGTTGGAGCAGACCAGACCAACTGCCGATCCTCGCTTAGGATCAGTTGGAGCAGACCAGACCAACTGCCGATCCTCGCTTAGGATCCGTCACAGCTCGGGGTCTCATGCACGGTGTGCGCGTCGCACCTATGCGCCTCTCAGAACATGCGCTCGCGTGTAACGCCCACGTCCTGTGTGAGGGAGCTGGGCGCCCCTGTCTGTCCTGTGTGACGGAGACGTGCGCCCCGGTATGCCTGGCCTCGTGCACGTCCGCTCGGCTGGCCGTCTTGGGTGACAGGTGGCCGGCTAAGCCGAGAGCCCAGCTGGTCACCGGTACAAGCCGAGCCGAGAACCCCCAGCTGGTCACCGGTACGAGCCGAGCCGAAAGCCCAGCTGGTCACCGGTACCAGCCGAGCCGAGAACCCCCAGCTGGTCACCGGTACGAGCCGGGCCGAAAGCCCAGCTGGTCACCGGTACCAGCCGAGCCGAGAACCCCCAGCTGGTCACCGGTACGAGCCGGGCCGAAAGCCCAGCTGGTTACCGGTACCAGCCGAGCCGACAGCCCCAGCTGGTCACCGGTACGAGCCGAACCGAGAGCCCAGCTGGTTACCGATACGAGCCGAGACCCCCACCTGGTCACCGGCACCAGCCGAGTCGAAAGCCCCAGCTGATCACCAGTACGAGCCGACCGCCCCGAATACACACGCAATGATGCCAACGCACACAGTTGTGCGTTGTGGTCATCTATGAAGCATGCGGTGATTTGAATATCAGCACCGCAGCCAGGAATTTCGTTCGGGGGGACAAATGAAGCTAACTAAGCTTGTGGCCAAAGGCTGATAATCATTAGCCTTCACTGGCCGGACGGCAGCCGGCAGCGTTGCCGGCAGCGGTAGCTAATGACAGCGCATGTCAGTGGGCTGGCCGAGACGCACCTTCTTGCCATGACGTCATTAAGGACGCGCCAAACCGTCCATGCGGCTGCCGATGCTCGGAGGTCGCTCTCTCTCTTTTGCACAGGCATGCTCCAAGATGTTGGATATTTTCCTCGCACATGCCTGTAAAATTCAGCTTTGCAGTACCAGCAAGTAATTTATGAGTCCTCAATACCCCAGGCGCGCGGGATACACGCAAGCCCCGCACGTGATGGTCTGATGCACTCAGGGTAAATGAGTACGCTGCACTGGCAAACATGGAGGCCGCTGCATTAGGCCTGATTAGAATCGGCCTTCCAAAACTTTTTGTCATTCTTCGTTCCCCGTTTCACGTTCCTTGTTCTTCTGGTCCAAAGTTTTTCATTCCGGGGACTTTACCTCCAGAACGAAACAATTTATCGACAAAAATCAGCGTGGATAGAGGCAGCAGTCATCATGGGCCTGTAACCTGTGACTGTTATGAACGTTATCACGTTTCTCAGTTCGGGGGACAAATGAGGGTTGGGTGGTTCAGGCTGGAACCTACGGACAAATTGACTTGAAAATAGCATTTTAGATGTGAAAACATGAAGGCGTGAATTCTACGGACAAAAACAGAGGAGGAAAGTCCAATTTTTTAAGTTTGAGCCCTGCTCCCCCAGCCCCGAATAGTCACATCTATGGTGACTGTAGTCACGCTGTCGCCGAGGAAGCCAGCCACCTTCCCGGGTTGGGTGTAGCACGCTCTTCTTTACCACGTGACAGAAGCAAATGAGATGCAACAGTGAGCTGGCGAAGATGTGCGTGACACACTCGATATCAAGATGGTTGAAATTATGGTTTAAGTGGGAGCTAAGCCATGATAAGCTTGTAATGCAAGCATGTGCTCTCTGTTCCGTGTGAGGCAACAGGTGACCGACGAAAATAGAGCGGCCTGACGAAACATGTTTATTTTAATGGCTACAGTAGAGGGGTCCGACCGGCCAAACTCATCGGGAATGACAATGCTGCACAGGCCTGAAAGGTGACCATTCAACTGTGCACAACAGTGGCTCGTGCGACAGCCGGCGTGCTCGGGCTATTTGTAATAATTTGGTAAAGAGGTTATCCCACGACAAACAGGCGCATTTCAGCACGACGGTTCCTTAAAAATCGGACAAAAACACGTATAAATACAACCAAAACACGATTCTGCATGTTTTAAGGCCGTACCGCGTATCGATAAGGAACTAGGAGCAGATGAATACAAGCGTTGACACCACGAACCTCATTTTTCAGCTTGCTTAGCGTAAATTATTTGTGGAGTGTAATGTTTCGAAAAGCGCATTGGGAAGCGAAATATCTATAGTTTTCTGACACATGGGCCTATACAACATTCAATATCAACTAGGTGCACATTGTGACCTAGTTTGGCCACTGATCCCTTTTTTTAGAAAAAAAAAGTACTTGGGTTTTCTTGTGAGTGATATGCTGTTGAAGGTCAATTAATTACTTTTCAGACTACAAAATAACTCAGGGCGATTTCATCTAGATCAGTCGCAAGTCGAACTTGAACATTGGGGGACACCGCGCGGCGGCACGCCGTGAGCCGACGGGCCGGTAACGGGTAACCGGGCGCGACCGGCTCCCTGCGTCGGGAACTGTTATCGTGACCTCGAGACCAATCGGGATTCTGGAACAATGTGTAAATGAAGAACGCATTTTCATCGATCTTGCTTAATTTTCATCCATCCCAAGTCGCGTAAATGGAGAGCCAAACTAGTTTTCAATGGCATGGTGTGCTGTGCAACCATCAGTTCCAAATGAGTCGTTTATTGTGTTTTTTAGCAAATTATGTCGCTGATCAATTGCTCAAGTCGGTTGATATAAATACAGAAAGGTAACTAACAAATTGGAATCCCTGTTTATTTATTTTTGCACACTAGGTTTTGTAACTATTAAGTTGTTACAATCGATATTCCGCCCTGGATTCATCTCGCAAGGGATTTCCATAGATAAGACGGTAGTAATAGCCCTATTCTTCGGAAGAAAACTGGGAGACTGGAGATATAGATGCCTTGATATTTCGGCAACATGTCTTAATCGAAACGAATAGCAGAAGTGAATTCAAAATTGTCCCTCCAAAATTTCCTGAGGCAATTTCGAATTCACTTCTGCTATCCGTTTCGATAAAGGCATCTTGCTGAAATATCAATGCATCTATATCGCCGTTCTGCTGGTTTTGTTCTCCGAGGAATAAGACTATTTCTACTGTCTTATTTAGGCAAATAATGTTGATTGCAAATGCAATAACAACCCAAGGGATTTCTTTGAATTTTCGAGTAGTCATGGTCATTGATGTAACTGCAACTTAGACATGTCTCCTCAGGGTTGATTACGACTGTAGCTGTGTGTCCTTTCAGCGTTTGGGCGTTTATTTAATCTACATTCCAGGTATTGGTCCGTTTTGCGTGTTTCATCAGCTGTCACATAAATGAGAAGAACGTATACGAATGAAAGTGAAACGGTAGGCTTATCCACGTGAATCGCAAAACTCATTGCAGCATTATTCGTGGTGAGATAATGTGTGTGCACCTGCCTGGCATATAAACCATGGTTGAAGCGCACAAATTTGCATCTCTCCGTTCTATGCCTCGCACATCATTTCGTAAACTGCGTCAGCAATTTACGTATTCACTAACCAGCAATGTGGTCGGTACAGCTGCGAAACATATTATGTGACGCTAGGATTTAATCCTGTTCTGGCATTATAGGCTTCCATGTCCTGTGAGGATTTTAACGGTGCCCCACTTCGATGCATGAACATTTCCTATGAAAGGTCGCGAGGACGTGCAATGCTCATTTAAGGCCCAACTCCTCCATATATTGACACATGTTAAGTAAATTGCGTTTGGTTTATGTTAGGTTAGGCGGCAATAGGTTAAGCAATGAACTCGTTTTGTATTTGGTGAACCCTTTTCAGCTTGGTTGTAGCCCTTTACCTGGCTAGTGCATACTGCAGCTGTTGAAGGAATTTGACTAACATAACACTAACATAACATAACATAACATAACATACATAACTGTAATTTTGCTGACAAGATCGTAGGTTGTTGTGAAACATGCCATGAATGGATGTGTTGTTAAGTCGCTACTCACTCAAAAGGGCCTCTGCCAGTGGTATCAACGGCCTTGGACTATGGACTATCAATAGTGGTATCTTGTGCGATAAAATGATGGTTTTCGGAAAAGCCAGTGGCCGGTGGACGAGCGTTCCGTCATGTCTTTCGAGACAGCACCGACTTTCCTTCGTCCCTTCGTGAGCCGTCGTGTTTTCAACAGGCCT